AGGTTTAGGGTTAGGTTTGGGGGGGAAAGGGTAAGGTTTTCGCTTTAATTTTAAATTTACCGCTCACAGCGCGATGTTTTTGTCACACTGTGATGACGTCACATACGCACTTTCATCGAGCGCGCTTTATTCCACCGCGGTTTTGTGGTGGAACCCACGGCAACAAAAGAAGATCATCTGGGAGACAGTGGGGGCATGGCCAGCCTATTTGCTCCACTACTGGTTCTCCAAACTACTCAAAATTTCCACTACTGGTTCTCCAGAACCTGTCAGAACTGGCTGAATGCCACCTCTGGAACAAACATACTTAGTATTCCTTATTTCCCCATGATACTCACCCTGTGAAGAGGGTTGGGCTGAGAGAAAGACTGTCCCAAAATCATCCACCTGGCTTTCATACCCAAGGCGGGACTCAAACTTGTGGTCACAAGTTTCTAGATCTTAGTCATTGACACCAAACTGCGGCGCCTTAAGATACTGTGGCCCTCCATGTATTCCCAGTATTCCTTAGTGACAGTATTAGCAGTTGCTGGGAGCAGTGCATCTATCCATGGTCATCTTTTGTTACAATGCTTGTCCATACTAAATCAAGCTACAATTAGACCTTGTTTTACAACTATACATCCAATATTGTATTTGCTGCAGACAAATAGATTGGATACAAAAAGCTATTTACCAACCAATTTTACACCATGCTTCCTTTTGAAATAAATCTCTACATTACTTGGTATGCCAGTGGGAAAAATTTTCAGCAGGCTATAATCTACATACATTTATTTAGAAGCAGGATCCATGGACTTTAGTGAAGGTGCTTTCTAAGTATAATAGATATATAGGCAGATGGAGCTGATAGATTTCTCTTTGCCTTTCATTGAAGCCAATGGTAGCGGCTTACACTAAGATTGCTCCTTTTGGGGCAGACTTTGGGGGGGCATTACTCTACTTTCTAGGTCAAACCAAGGGAAAGTTTTTTTTACAGCCTGCATGGCCCGATTTGTTCATGTTGCGGCACAATGGCACACCATAATATTGATGGTGTTGAGAATGGAATGCCTTTTCTTTTTAAGTGGCGTAGTCAACAGCTAGGAAGAATGAGGATTATGGTTTGCTGCTGAGCAGAAAATTCAAACTGACTTGTCCAAACATTTGACTTTGGGAAGTGGAAAATAAGCAGATAACTAAGGAAGCCAGATTTTAGCCATTTATAAATGGAAGGTTCTCCAAGGATTCCCAAGTGTTTCAAACACATTTGTCTGCATTTCTGTTGTGGCCAACTGAAGAGTTAGTAAACTACGGCACAAGGACAGTGACTGGTTTGGTAAGTTGACAGCTAATAGTAGAGATTTGAATCAGGAATAACTGGTGGCATAAATTCCAGTTTGGAGAATGAGAGATTAACAAACAACATGGTTTTATGTTACCGTGTTTCCCCAAAAATGCGACAAGGTCTTATTTTCTTTTTACCTACAAAATATGGCTTGGGATTTATTATGGGGGGGAGGGTTTATTGTTTTGGGGTTGCCGGGCGGCTGCCCTCATGCGGGTGGGCTCCCAAAGAGCTGGGCACAGCCTCATGCGTGAATGGCTGTGTTGCGCAAGCGGCTCTATGGTTGTGGGCCAACTGCCTGCAGAGCATACAACCATAGAGAGTGCGCCCAGAGTGGCCACTGCCGAAAGACTCAGGTTGGAAGCCGCAGAAAAAGCCAGGCTGTGATGGTGGCGGTGGCGGAAATGCCTTGGCTCCGTAATGAGAGCTGGGCCATGCATCGTGAGGCTGGGAAGCGGGTGAGCGAGAGTTGCACAACCCCCCTTTCCAGCCGTGCAGAGCGCAATTCACTGGCATTTGGAAGGCGCCAAGTCGCGGGAGCCGGGCGACAGCAAACAGGCGCTCACGCGGCTTGGCGATATCCCTAGGTCAGTGAATGGCACTGTGCCCGGCTGCAAAGAGGGTTTTCCGGGTGGCTGCTCATGAGCGTGGTCGCTTCATGGCTGTTGTGTTGTGCTGTTGCGACAGCGCAACACAGCCATTTGCCCATGAGGCTGTGCCCGGCTCTTTGGGAGCCTGCTTGCAAGAGAGCAGCCGCCCGGCAACCCCCCTCTTCAGCTGGGCACAGCGCTGCTCACCAACCTAGCTGTATCCCAAAGGCGCTAAGCAACGCGATCACCTTTGCCTCCCCCCAGGTTCCCGTGGCTTGGCACCTTCTGGATACTGCTAGGTTGGTGAGCGGCGCTCTGCCTGGCCGGGGGTGGAGGGTTGTCCAGGGGGCTTATATGCGGGGGGGGGGGGCTTATATTTTTGCCCACCAGAAAAATGTGGCATGGCTGTATTATGAGGACATGTCGTATTTTGGGGGAAACACGGTACTCCCTGTTCACCAAAGCCATCTTAACTAAAGACCATGGAAGGGAA